AACCTCCCACCAGCTCCTCAGTACCCACTGGGAGTTTGTCACTAGTTCTTTCTGAAAAGTTTATTCGATCATTAATATCCTACCTGTCTGTCCATAAAATGGACCTCCAGTGTGGTCAAAAACCAAACCAACATCGAGTTAAAGTTATGAATTAAAATCTATTCACTAGCATCATTGAGGAAACTAGTGATGGCTAATACTCAGGGGTCGTTTCGTAGAAAAAGAGCGAGGGGAACTCATTAGCATAACTCATTAGGATATGCCACACCCCCTGACATCATAAGGCCCGGTAGTGGACCTGCAAGGCCGGCGGGAGTGCGAGGAAGCCCTGCCAAGGCCCTCCCTGGCCCCAGCCAGGCAGGGGTGGGGAGAGGCGGGGAGGAAGCAACTTACCCTCCCTCTTCTCCTGCCTCCTCCTGGCTGAATGAGGGCCGGAAGCGGGGCGGCCGGAAGCAGGGGGTGGGGCTTCGTCATGTGCCCCACCCCCCGCACCTCACCCGGGGGAACTGTGATCCCCCCCGAATCGACCTCTGTTAGTACTAGCATAACAACCTGTATGAATCCCAACCAATTATATAGCAGTATAGGTTGCAAAGATTCTTGCAAAAAATTATCTTGCAGAATCCAGACTTCATGAAATATTTGTATAGATCTTACTAAGAGATTTTAGAGTTTTGGACTACCTTGTCAATTTAATCGATTTTGGAGTAGTTGCTTTCAAGAAGTAGCTTGTTTGAAAACTGTTTTTGTTATTTATTTTCTAATAATTATTAATATTTGCTATTTTCATAACACCCAGGTTTTTGTCAGGCCTTGTTTTGGTGTGTATGTTTGGGTGGTTATGTGCTTATATGTTATCTGTATTTTAAATGTTCAGATTGTTTGCTGCCTTGGGAGCCCTAAGTTGGTAGGATACAAATGAAAGGTAGGATACAAATGTTTTAAATGAATCCTGTCTTTTATTTAGATGCTACAGAAATTTATGAACCCTAGAGATGATCAGAGTGGTGTTTGGGAGCAGCGTGTGACTTCTAAGTAGTTGAAAGACAAACAGATATTCAGGTTTTTCAGGGAGACAGTGAAAGTGGAGGGCTGGTTTTGTGGAGAAAGGAAGCTGTCTATTTAAAAATGATGTATTCTATCCTTCCCATTTTTTAAGGTCATTCAGAGTGGCTTACAAAAATAGTGCTGGCCAAGACAGAAACAATGATAATTAAAAATATGCATCAAATACAAATAAACAAGCTACCTTGGCTTCCCCCCCCTAAGAAGTAAACAAGAATTTCATTCTCCATCAAAAGCTGTTTTGAATAGGTCAGTTTTACCTTACCTCCTTCACCTAATCAAAGGGTTAGATCCAGACTAAATTCATAAAAATTCTACTCTTGTGGAATAGGGGACCCTGAGGAACAACATGACAATGGTCTGTAATGGGAAGCGATAGAAATTTCCGTTAGTGGAAACTTTGGTCTGGAATCTGAAATCACCTGATCTTGGAACTCTCCTCACCTCTTCATGGATTAGGTTCCAAAGAATCAGTGCTGTAAGAAAATAAGAACATAAGAGAAGCCAATGTTGGATCAGGCCAATGGCCCATCCAACACTCTGTCACACAGTTGCCAAAAATACCAGGTTCCATCAGGAGGTCCACCAGTGGGGCCAGGACATTAGAGCCCTCCCACTGTTGTCCCCCCCCCCAAGCACCAAGAATACAGAACATCACTTGCTGCAGACTGTGGGTTCCTATCTATACCTTGTGGCTAATAGCCACTGATGGACCTCTGCCACTGATGGGCATTCTTGACTGTATCGGAAAGTGAATGCGGTGCCCCTAACACCTTTAAGAGAGAGCCCAAGCAAGAGAGAGAGCTGTGTGAGTAAGGATCTGATTTGGTATTCAGGTTCATACTAGGAGAGATATCTGTCTTCCATGATAAGAACCACCACCTTAAATTGAACTTAAATTGAACTTGGAAGCATGCAGAAAACTTCTGTTGCTGCCTGAGGATGATACGTTTTCACCTCCGAGTGCACCTGTCAACAGAAAGTGCTTTACTCTGAACCAACTGATGCTTCTGAGTCTCTTATAGGACAGTCCTCCATAGAGCATGTTATGGTAGTCTAGCCTTGAAGTTTCAGGAGTATGGAACAATGTGGCCATATTTGGAGAGTCCTAGGGAAGGGGGAAGAAAGCTTCTGGGTAAGAAGTAGTTTAAAAAATCCTTACTTCCATATTGATTTGATTTTCAGATGAGAAGGTGGGATCAAATAAAGCCTAACAGAACTCTCAATTTTTTTTACAAATGAGCAACAGTGGTCATGGTGGAGTTGCAATTGGAGTGGGGAGACAAGTAGAGACTATTTTTAAAAATGTAAGCAGTCATTGAGAAGCCCAAGAGTTCTCTTCTGGTCTATGACCGTAATAAACTTGATGCATAGTATGCGGAGTTCTCTTCTGTTGGAATTCATTGTGATATTTGTCCTGGAACTCCTTATGAACATTGTCTATCACTTTGTCCACGTAGGTTAGGGTCAGAATTTTTTGAAATCCAGCCACAAAGACCAACTCAAACTGATTGTCCAACTTGTACTTTAGTGTAAGGGCTTCATTGGCGAAAGAGTTACTGCCACCTCGCTCCTGGAGGACAGACCAAATGAGCGCATTCATGGGTGCAGTGCAGGCCGCCGCGGGGCCGCATACATCCTGGAAGCACCACAGGACAAGGCCTCCTTTGCTGAAGATGGTGAAGAAGTCAAGCATGGTGGAATGGGGGGGCTCCGGGCCTTGCCTGGGGGAAGGAAGGGGGGAAGCTGAGGTGACAGAGTCTGGGGTGCTGGGAAACCAGCCCATCTTCATTACCCATGTCAGATTATTATCTCAATGTAAGCAGTCTTTTTCTGCTTCAGAGAAGGGGGGAAGCTGAGGTGACAGAGTCTGAGGTGCTGGGAAACCAGCCCAACTTCATTACCCATGTCAGATTATTCTCTCAATGTATACAGTCTTTTTCTGCTTCAGTGAGCAATTCGAGATGGGTTTCAATAGGAAAAGCCAGCAATATCCATAAAACATAAATAAGTCATATTAGTTCAATGATAGCAGCAGTTCCCTTTAAAAACTTAATTCAAATGGCAGTATAGTTTACATAAAATTAAGAAACAAAGACATCTCTACTGGTGGGTGCGTATAATTAGATTTGGGATTCATTCTGTCCTTTTTTGATAGTATTTGTTGACTTTAGGTGGTCACTTTATTTTTGTTTTCTTTCTGTATACCCTGCCTTTCTTCCCATTGAAGACCCAAAGTGTCTTATATCGTTCTTTTCTCCTCCATTTTATCCCTACAACAACCCTGTGAGGTTGGTTAGGCTGAGAGTGTGACTGGCTCAGGGTCACCCAGTGAGCTTCCATGGCAGATTGGGGATTTGAACTTGGGTATCCTTGTCCTATGCTCTAACCACTACATCACTTGGCATACATCACTATATCACCAATTATGTTAATTAAGAAGCTGCCACAAATGTTTCATGTAATGCGTACCTGGGGCAAAAAAGAAATTTGTATGCAGTGAACTGCTAGCAACATGATGCTTGTGGAATGAGTCTTGCCTCCCTCCTGCTGTAATTCACGAAGCCCCCTGAAATTTTGATCCTAGGGGTTGAGATCCTTGCAGACAGGATGAGGGGAAGTTAAAAAATGGGCCTGCAGTAAGAGGGAGTAACAGGTATAACCCCCCCATTCCTTCCCCCCAGCAATGTAAGCAGAAAATGGTGGTAGAATGCAAGCCATTCACTTTGGAAAGAAGTGATAGGTGACTAATTTTCATGAACCCTAATAAGTTACATAGTGTTTTGTAACTCCCACGAATACATTTCACAGTTTAAATACAGCTAGAATAAAGATTCAAGTCATATGGTTCTAAGAAGGAAAGCTAGGTAGGCAGACCAGAAAACAAAATTCAGCACTTTTGTTAACCTGTATTGAGACTGGCAAAAAAATAATAATCCAGCCCAACTATGTATTTAAAGTAGTATTTTTGTTATGTATGTTACAGTATCTAAAATGTCTTTAAAATGTATGCTATGAATTATTCACAAATAGGTCTAAATTTTTAAATTATAGTCTTCTATTTAGAAATATTTCTAATTTTTGTTTTTGCGCTATTCTTCATCGATCTCAAGAGTTATCTCCATTGAATTATGTTGCCACATTACGTCTTCCGAAGGGCATAAAGTCAGTACACATGCTTCAGTAATATCTGGTTGTTTTACCCTTATGTTTCCAGTTGGCAATTTGAAATTATGGCTTCAACTGCACTTTAAATATGTGATAATAGCATGTGTTTCTAATAAGGGCCAGCACTATTTTGGTTGAGATAGTGTGAATGGTTGTCACTCATATATGACAAATGCACCTTCATCTGCTTCTTTGATGGCCCCCTAAAAACCATACCCTCAAATCAGACCGACGAAATTAGCTGCTGTGTAAATTGTGTGTCTGAGTGGTTCATTATCTAATCACCGTCAGAACCATAGTGATAAAGTAGTTTGAAGCAGGGAAGAGGTCTGCCAGATGATTTTCAGTCCTTTTTTTTCTTTGTAGATCCTGTTTCCCTTGGAAACCCATTACTATAGGACAGAACTTCAAAATTCTTTGACATAAACTTCGTAAAAAATTAATATTGGTACTTAATGAGTGACTTAAGATGATCTGTTTCTAGTCACTGTTGTTGATAAAAGTGATAGTTTTTATTTGGCCACCTCATAAGAAATGAATTGACCCTGACACTGAAAAGTTCAGTTTGATTATAAGTTTCCAGCTCAGAAAACCATGTATATGCTTGCAGGTACGTGTTGTAAAATCCTGGTGACTGTAATGCACATTTGTCTACTTTTTAATCTGTGTTGATTTTTAGTGTGTGATCTTAGATCCATTAAGTATAATGTTGGCTTTTGTCAAATTAGAGTACTGTTTAATATTTGATATTGCTCTCTTCCCCAAAGGATCGTTTGATGATGATGATATTACGCACATTGAAGGAAGCGTTGAACCAGTTCGTGACATTGAAATAATACATGAAGAACTTAGGCTAAAAGATGAGGAAATGATCATGCCCATTATAGACAAACTAGAAAAAGTGGCAGTGCGAGGAGGTGACAAGAAATTAAAACCTGAATATGTAAGTAAGAAATGCTTTCAATGGTTAAAAAGACTATATTGGGTGAACATTAATTTTAATTATGGCAGGATTTGGCATTGCATTCATCAGCAGTTGTTCACTGTCCTGGGGGGAAAAACTAGTTAGCTCAAAATGTATGACATGTTTCCTACTTCAGTGTTGTTCCAATGTGTTACTTTATTGCATTAATCACCTCCATTTTAGTTGCAGTTACAATATGTAATTGTGATTACATATAAAGTAGATTGAGAGACAAAAATTATTTAGAATTGTGTGTATAAAAAGTACATGTCTGGTGGAAATGCTAATCCATGTAGCTTAATAGTGAATTATTTACATCTGTCTATCTATATACAAGGGGCTGTGGTGGCTCAGTGGTTAAGACGCTGAGCTACAGACTGGAAGGTCGGTAGTTTGGCAGTTCGAGACCCGAGTGCTGCATGATGGAGTGAGCTCCCATCTCTGGTCCCAGCTCCTGCCAGCCTAGCAGTTCAAAAGCAAGAAACTGCAAGTAGATAAATAGGTGCCACTTTGGTGGGAAAGTAACAGCATTCCGTGCGCCTTGGCGTCTAGTCATGCCAGGCACATGACCACGATGATGTCTTCGGACAGCGCTGGCTCTTCGGCTTGGAAATGGAGATGAGCACGGCCCCCTAGAGTCGGATTCGACTGGCCTTCGAGCAAGGGAAACCTTTACCTTTTTATCTATATACATCCTGGCTTGATTCCCTCCAATAATTTTTTAAAAATAACAGATCTGCACTAAGCTATGCAGTCTGAATGCTTTTACCTTCAAATTCTAATTCTGCTGCTTACATATCTTATCAGAAGCCATGTTTGTTCGCACCTTTCTGCTGCATATCTCCTCATATGGTCTGATTTCTATCCATTTTGTTTGCATCTAAAAGGTGGCTTCATATGAGATGAAGGGCAGCCATGTTAGTCTGTTGTAGGAGAAACAGGAGTCTCCTAGTACCTTACCTGAAAGACCAACAAGTTTTTATTTGAGCATTAAGCTGTTGTACACTAGTGGGCCCCTTATTCATATGGAAGTATTAGGTCCTTGCTGGGCAAACACAAAGTTAAAGAAAATAATTGGAAACAGCAGGACCAACAAATGTTATATTGCACACTAAGACAGTGATCCAGTAGTATTAATACACATGAGCTCTGTTCTTTTTGTCTTTGAAAAGCTGGGGGTGTGTTTTCACTGCTTTATGCCTCTTGTATGGAGCCACACGTTATTAAGAACATAAGAAAAGCCCTGCTGGATCAGACCAGTGGTGCAGTTAGTCCAGCGACCTGTCTCACATGGTGGCCAAGTAGTTCCTCTGGAGGGCCAACAACAGGCCATAGAGGCTGAGACCTCCCACTGATGTTACCTCCTCAGGATGTTATTCAGAGGTTTACTGCCTCTAAATGTGGAGGTTCCCTTTAGCTGGTTGTTCTTCTCTCTCAACATGGCTAGTTGTTCTTCTCTCTGCCAGTATTATTCATAGGGAGTCCTGAAGAAGGGAATGAGACCTTGTTAGATTCCGTTTTGTGGCTGAATACAGCTGACACATATGAGAGAACACCGGGATCCCAGCCTTATTCCTGAACCTTGATTGGCTGAGCGAAAAAAAGTTGGGATGCTAGAAAGCCCAATCAGCTAGCTCAGTGGTACTGACATCATCATCTAGAAGAGCCAGAGTATGCTATACGCACCACCCCACCAAGATACATATACAACTATTAATGTTCATGTTAAATATATAATTATAAATATTTTCAGTGCAACAGACTTTAAATACTTGCTGCATGCAATTAGTTAATCTGTCTGTCAACAGGATGCATGGCTGCCCATTTACTCTCTCACCGTCTCTCTTTCTCACAGGTGTCTTCTCTGTAGAACCTTTTCCTGGTACCCATCAATCCTCTGAAGGGTTTTTTTTGCTATGTTTTAGCTTGTCATTGGTCCCACATCACTTCTGGTGTGCACTGGGCACACTGCTGGGGGCATAGAACAACCCCCCAGAACCCAAACTTTAAAAGAGCTACAGGTTGTGTTTATTTTCTTTACAAAATGTGTATCCTGCCTTTCTGCCCTCACAAAGGCCACCAAGGCAGCTAACAATTTAAAATGTACATGATAAAATCACATTTTAAAACTATTAAAATCACCCCCCCCCAAACACACATAATTAAAACAAATTAAAAACAGAGTTAAAATATATATAAAGATGTAAAAACATCAATTAGAACACTGGTCATGAAGGAGGGCTTCCAGAGCTTTGATACCATGACCAAGAAGACCCTCTGCCAGGTTGCTGTCTGCTGAATTTCAGAAGCGGTACACCCTGAAGCAGGCCCTCTGAAAATTAGCACATCGGTGGGTCCCAAACCATATAGGGCTTTGACAGTCAAGACCACCACCTTGAATAGTGCCTGGAAATAAGTTGGGAACCAGTGTAAATGGGCCAAGATTGGAAGGATATGGTCCCTGTGACCAACTCCAGTCAACATCCTGGCTGCGGCATTTTGTACCAGTTGACGTTTCCAAACATGTCTCAAGGGAAGCTCCACATAGAACACATTAACAGTAATCTAATCTAAATGTAACCAGGGCATGCACCACAGTGGTCAGATCTTTTCTGCAGAGGAAAGGCTTCAGCTGGCTAACCAGATGAAACTGGTAGATGGCACCCTTGGGCACAGTATCCTGAAGGTAGCATGCTGCGTACTTTGCTATCACATACCACAGTATTTATTTATACCATTTCTACCTTGCGGAACAAGGTGCTTACAGTGTAAATAAAACAATTATAAAAAGTACCTAAAAGATCTCAGTTTGTTAGCACAATTAGGACTGCCAATTAAAGCCCCATACACAGCTTAATTAGTCAAATGGAGTCCTAAATAAAACTGCCTTCAACTGTAGCAGTTTTTACTGATCATCTATGCAGATGGTTTGGAAGAATTCTGAAAGTCAAGGCAGGTCTTTCAGTCCTTAAACTTTACATCACGAAGTTTAGAGAAATTTTGTACAGAACATGCCCTTCTGCTGCTGCACAAGATCCCCCCTCCTTCAAGACAACCCACTTAGCCGCTCCAACTAATCATTGGCGTGATTGTTTGAAGTAAGTAACAAAATATTGCACAGCAAACTGAAGCCTTTCTTCGGCCCCCAGAATTTTCACCAAGGTCATGGTGACTCTGGTGGCGGCCCTGCGCCTGCAGGGGATCCACATGTACTCATATCTAGAAGACGTCCTAATATGAGCAGAGGACTACCGGGCAGCAGTCCACAACACTCAGAGGGCAAGGGATTGTGCGCACACAGCTTCCTCCTCAACGAGGAGAAGAGCCACTTTACACCCACACGGGACCTTGTGCACCTTGGAGCATGGCTGAACACCGCTCAAGTCACGGTTTCTCTGCTGGAGGAGAAGCAGATCAAGATTCGGGCCCTACTGACAGACATCAGAGCTAAGGATCAAGTGGACCTTATACAACTAGCAGCGCTGCAGGGCTTGATGATCTCGACAATCGACTTGGTTCCCTGGGCGCGGTTCCACTCCAGGCCCTTGCAGTGGGCGCTTCTTCCTTTCCAGCGAGACATTGCCAAATAATGGCACATCCAGATACCGATATCAGAAGACCTCCGAAGGGAGCTGCTATTGTGGGCACAACCAGAGAACTTGGCCAAGACCGTCAGCTTTCTCTGGCCCCAGTAACTGGTGATAACCACAGATGCGAGCAAGAGAGGTTGGGGGGCACACTGTGGTCACCTTGTCACGCAAGGCAGATGGTCCCCAGCACAGGCCTCTCACAGGATAAACTGGCTGGAACTCCGGACAGTCACGCTAGCGCTGAAGGCTTTCCAGCAACACATACAGAACCAGCATGTGCTGGTATGCACAGACAATATGTGCATGAAAGCACACATCAACCAGCAGGGGGGCACCAGGTCCAGGTCCCTCTTTACAGAAGCAAGGCACCTACTTTGTTGGGCAGAGAAACACACCAGGAGCCTCAAGGCGGAACATCTAAAGGGCTTATCCAACCTGCAGGCGGACTGGCTGAGTAGAGAGGATCTGGATCCGGGCAAATGGGCATTGAACAAGGAGGTCTTTGCTCAGCTCACAAGAAGGTTTGGAATTCTGGTGATGGACCTCCTAGTGAGCTCCAAAGACCACCAAGTGGAGCAGTTCCTATCCAGATATCAGGATCCAGCTGCGGAGGGAGTCGACGTGTTATCCCACCCCTGGCCAAATGGCCTCCTGTATGCCTTCCGTCTTCCTGCAGCCCTCATAGGGGCAACACTCAACAGAATCAAACGGGAGAGGGCCACAGTGGTGTTCGTGGCACCCCACTGGCCAAGACGGCCGTGGTTCTCCGACCTGGTCCAGCTGGCTTCCCAGACACCGTGGACTCTGCCTCAGAGACCGGACTTGTTATAGCAAGGGCCCATTCTCCACCCGGACCCAGCATGGCTTCGATTGACTGCATTGAAATTGAACGCGCATGACTAGTGGACAAGGGATTTCCTGGCGAAGTGATCGAGGTCATGCTGCAGGCAAGAAGGCCTTCCACATGTAACCTCCCCTGGAATGGAAAGGGTATGTGCAATATGGAGAGAGGGTTTTAGTCACGCGGGATCCTTGGGCGTGGCCCATGTATAAATTGTTTTAAAATGTTTTATTGGTTTTTATTGCACTTTGTGCCTTATGGTTGTAAGCCGCCCTGAGCCCGTACGCGGGGAGGGCGGGGTATAAGTGAAATTAAATAAATAAATAAATAAACATGTTGTATCTATAGTCATACCTGGAGAACATTCGTAAGCTGGGCCTCGGCATATGAGATACACCCCCTGAGAGCCTCGGACAAGGAAGTCATTCTTTTTCTAGTGGAGGGATGGCAAATGGGACTTCGGCTGAACACGCTGAAAAGACAAGCGGCGGCCATACAGGCATGCCTGGGACACGAGCACGAAGGAAGGTGTCCACACCCCGGGACAT